ATACAAGCAAGTGTTGAGTTTAATGAGCCTTATGATTATGATCATAGTTAATGTTAAAAGTGCCTCATTACGTTATACCTGAGCCTTTACCAAACAGATAAAAAATCATTTAATCATAGTAAAATTAAAGCAATATACACCAAGCGTCCATCCAGTGTTTTTAAGCCTAAATAGAATTCCAGGTGAGATAATAGAAACAGACTTGTCGCCATCTGCTGGTAGTACCACAGAACTATCAGAGAGCCACATGTTAACAACTAAATAGAGCAAACCGTCCAATAATGTGTCTAAGTAAAGAGACAGCTCGGTATGGCCAAAGAACAACCAGTAGAAATTGAATAAATCGATCTACGTCAACTCTGAATCCTCCACGTCATCTTTCAAAACATCAAGGGGAAATAAAATTCTCTGTCTGTCAGTCAGTCTGTCTATCTATTTGTTTTTACTTAGACTGTAAAGACGAACAATAACATTGCTATTACTAGTATCAGTAATAAAAGGGGACATTTATTTATTCACCTATACATGAACTTAGCAGACACATCTGAATGCCTTGGCAGCTTTAGCTTCTGCTTCAGTGAACACCACATATTATATTTCAACAATTGTTTTAGTCTTATCCCTTATCCCCTTTATTTCATTTTTTTCTTACTTGCTTTGATTCTGTTTTATTTTCCTATATTTTAATCATGTAAAGCACTTTGCATTGTCTTTGTACTGAATTGTGCTATACAAATAAATTTGCCTTGCCTTGTGTTGCCTTGCCTTATGAAGTGTAATATTATTTTTACATTTTTTCACAAGGGCTTTTGGACTTTTCTTCGTGTTTCCATACTTTCCTTGCTTGTGTTAAATGGCTTAGCCGAGGTGGGCTACTTCTTGTTTATTCCCTGCGCGCATGCAAATTATCATTTATTTACTAAAACAATTATCATTTATTATCATTTATTTACTAAAAATATTATGAAAAAACAAAGAGTAAAACCAAAAAAATATTAAATAATAAGCCAGCAGGACCGGGTAATCTTTCATTCAAACTTTGTTTGACATTCCAATGAATTACTGCTATGTACCTTTTAGAAATTTTAAAAATGTGACTACGCACCTTTTAAGAAATCACCTTAACTACATAATTGGTTTATTGAGCTCATTTTATCTGAAGCTGCAACATACTGCACGAGAACCAGTGTTGTGCATGAACGCGTTCACTGAATACGTTCATATTTTTTGTGAACGGCGAACAGAATGGATCAGTTTTGAATTAATGAACATGAAAAAGTTAATTTTCATCCATGTCAACTGAACTTTGAGCTCATTTTTTTTAACTAGGCACTAACTGGCACAACATTGATATTTTTCTTCTTGCTCCCTCGTCTTATTAAGTTATATTGTTCTCTCTATACTGCCTTGAAGTAGTCTGCTGGTTCTGGGCACGTTTTGGAATTACATTTTTTCTCACACTGTGTTGTACTCTGGAAAAGACTTAGATAGATTTAGATAGATGTGTTTAAGTTGAAAAAGCAGAAATGCCTCAAGTATCTTAACTTACCACTGAGGTTTCACAGTTCAACCGTGGTGATTTGAGAGTCATGCCATCTCAGCTCACTTGAAATATTTAATACACGTTATTTATTTTAGAGGGAGAGTCCCACCCCTGCAGCACCACACACTCCCGGTGTTCATAGTTTTTCCAAATAGTGCCAGAGCACACCCTGAGCTCCTATTTCTGTCTGCTCCTCTACTTTTGGCTCTTCATCTTCATTAGCAAGTGTTATTGGGGCAGTATGTTTCAGCTGAGTGTTTCTTGGACTAAGAATAGTCAAAACAAACTTTTTTCTTGTTCTTGCCACCTTCAGAACTAGAGAAAACCTCTTGCTTCTTGTAAAGTATATGGTGGCCTTTAGATCTCATAGAAAACCTTAAATTTATATTGGCCTGCAAAAACCCAACTGGTGCATCTCTAATCTTTACCAATTCCTTTAGAAATATTTCCTGTTTTGAGGAACAGCATCTGATATCTACGGAACAGGATTAGGGCCACTGAAAATAAAAAATAAAAAAGTTAACTGACTTTTTTTTTCAGAATTCTGCCTTTAATCTCACAATTCTGACTTTTTTTCTCAGAATTCTGACTTTTTTATTGTCAGAATTCAGTCAGCATTCTGAGATTAAAGTCAGAATTATGAGATTAAAGTCAGAATTCTGACTTTTTTCCCATGTTAAACTGAAAAAAAATTTAAAAATCAGAAATCAAACATTTTTTTTCAGTGGCCCTAATCCTCTTCCGTAGATATCAGACTACAGGCCTTTATTATCATTTTTTTATTTAAACATTGGTTGTTGTTTTTTTTTTACATTGCTCGAGATCCTTAAACATCATTGAACAGAGCGGGTGACAAAACCTGGATATTCATTTTTTATGTGTTGACACCTGTTAGTGTACGTGACCAGATGTGGTCTCGAGAAATTACAGGGTAGATTACTTCTTTCAAAGATATTTTGTTTTTAGTCGAATTTGTGTTTGTGTGTAATGTTTGCTTGTTTGTCTGTCTGTAAGTCAGTATACAGGATAACTTGGAAATTTAGAAATGGGTTTCACTTCCATACAGTAACCCCAAATTCATATCTTCAGGTAACACAGAGTACATGTCAGACTTAATAATACTACTTCAGCGATAGTTTCAAGGTGTTATTTTATTGTGTGTCTCGTACCATGTCTTTCGGTTGTGCTGTTCTTTTTGCATCTCGTTGCAGGTGATGAAGCAAACTGAAAATGTTTTGTCATTGTCTCCTTTCTATCTCCTCTTTCTTTCATCTTTTCTCTTTTTCTTCTTCTGTTTTTCTGCACTATTTGCATTGCAGTGTCCATATAAACTGTAAAACTCTCTGCATAATTATAATAAAGCAATTTATATGCATTAAACAAGTGGAGCAATATAGCAATTGCCATACTGCTACACTTGTGAAAGTAAAATCTTTTGGGCTCTTTTTGGCATCAATATAATTGTTCTTATTGCCAGACAGGACACTGTTAAAAAAAAAGAAGAGAAAAAAGAAATGGGTTTTGATTTTCTTTTTTTTTTTTTTTTACTAAAGGTACTAAAATTTACCCCCATATAGATGAAGATGTAAATAAAGGCTGAATCAACATTGATTTCATTTAAGTTATAGTTGAATTAAATGTCAGGATTCAACATGGGTCCAATATTTTTCCCTAACCATACTTCACTGTTGATACACTCCGACTTAGGATTTAAAAATTTGCCAAAATCTCTCAAAATCCTGTATTTAAAATGAATATACACACAAATATGTTCTTTGCTATGAACTGAAACCTTTGGGCTGAATGTACAGGTGCTGGTCATAAAATTAGAATATCATGAAAGTAGATTGATTTCAGTAATTCCATTTAAAAAGTGAAACTTGTATATTATATTCATACATTACATACAAACTCATATATTTCAGATGTTTATTTTGTTTAATTTTGATGATTACAAATGACAACAAATGAAAATCTCAAATTCATCATATCATAAAATTAGAATATTACTGAAGACCAATAAAAACAAAGGATTTATAGAAATGTTGGCCAACTGAAAAGTATGAACATGAAAAGTATGAGCATGTACAGCACTCAGTATTTAGTTGGGCCTCCTTTGGCCTGTATTACTACAGCAATGCGGCGTGGCATGGAGTCGATCAGTCTGTGGCACTGCTCAGGTGTTATGATAGCCCAGGTTGCTCTAATAGTGGCTTTTAGCTCTTCTGAATTGTTGGGTCTGGTGTATTGCATCTTCTTCTTCACAATACCCCATAGATTTTCTATGGGGTTAAGGTCAGGAGAGTTTGCTGGCCAATTAAGAACAGGGATACCATGGTCCTTCAACCAGGTACTGGTAGCTTTGGCACTGTGTGCAGGTGCCAAGTCCTGTTGGAAAATGAAATCTGCATCTCCAAAAAGTTGGTCAGCTGCAGGAAGCATGAAGTGCTCTAAAACTTCCTGGTATGTGGCTGCGTTGACCCTGGACCTCAGAAAACACAATGGACCAACACCAGCAGATGACATGGCACCCCAAACCATCACTGACTGTGGAAACTTTACACTGGACTTCAAGCAACGTGGATGAAGTGCCTCTCTTCTTTTCCTCCAGACTCTGGGACCTTGATTTCCAAAGGAAATGCAAAATTTACTTTCATCAGAGAACATGACTTTGGACCACTCACCAGCAGTCCAGTCCTGTTTCTCTTTAGCCCAGGCAAGACGCTTCTGACGCTGTCTGTGGTTCAAGAGTGGCTTGACACAAGGAATGCGACAGCAGAAACCCATGTCTTTCATACGTCTGTGTGTGGTGGTTCTTGAAGCACTCACTCCAGCTGCAGTCCACTCTTTGTGAATCTCCCCCACATTTTTGAATGGGTTTTGTTTCACAATCCTCTCCAGGGTGCGGTTATCTCTCTTGCTTGTACACTTTTTTCGACCACATCTTTTCCTTCCCTTCGCCTCTCTATTAATGTGCTTGGACACTGAGCTCTGTGAACAGCCAGCCTCTTTAGCGATGACCTTTTGTGTCTTGCCCTCCTTGTGCAAGGTGTCGATGGTCGTCTTTTGGACAACTGTCAAGTCAGCAGTCTTCCCCATGATTGTGTAGCCTATAGAACTAGACTGAAAGACCATTTAAAGGCTTTTGCAGGTGGTTTGAGTTAATTAGCTGATTAGAGTGTGGCACCAGGGGCCATCAATTTTGAACCTTTTCACAATATTCTAATTTTCTGATATGATGAATTTGAGATTTTCATTTGTTGTCATTTGTAATCATCAAAATTAAACAAAATAAACATCTGAAATATATGAGTTTGTATGTAATGTATGAATATAATATACAAGTTTCACTTTTTAAATGGAATTACTGAAATCAATCTACTTTTTCATGATATTCTAATTTTATGACCAGCACCTGTAAAGCTGTTTTTTTTTTTTTCTGTTTGTGTTCTGAAAGGAAAGCGTTGACCTTGGGGAGATCATGTTCTCATTGTGCTACCTGCCCACTGCAGGCAGACTCACACTTACTGTTATCAAGTGCAGGAACCTCAAGGCTATGGACATCACCGGGTACTCGGGTAAGTCGTGTTCTCTTTGTGTGATTCACTGACAATGACAGCGAGTCAAAATAAACTATCTTCCTTTTAATTCCCATTTGTAGTGATGACAGAGAGAATAAAGAATCCATGGACGGTAGTTTGAGTGGGCGAATTCAGATTGTTTCAGCTTATTATTATCCTGCACCTGCAAAATTAAAACTTTGACAAGAAATAGTTTCAGGCAGTCTCTTATTTTAATGGAGTGCCATCTCACTTCTCTATTAAAACTTCCCCTACGATTGGGATATCACTTGTGAAATGTGACATTTATTAGGCTTTAAATGCCAGGGTTCAAGTGTTATTCAGAATAAATGTGGTTCCTTTTTCCTCCTCACACATTTAATGACATTTCACAGTTTTGATGTGACTCACAACTTTAATTCCCTGAGTTGTCAGAGCTTTTGCAGTCTGTTCATTGTAAACTTAGATCTATTGTATTGTGCCTCCCAGCATATCCAACATGTTTATGGATCCAGAGCAGCTTATAAATAACTAAAACCTGGCTTGATGGATGCTGTGCAGTGATTTATCACTCACAAATGAAGAGCAAATTCAGCATTCAGGAAGCTTTCTTAGTGATGCTATTTGGGAGCTATCTTTGGCCTTGCATCCATTTTGTTAACGCACGGCGGTGAGTCACTTTGATGCACATTACTGGCACCAGGTCCTCCAGCATTGCTTTTTTGTTTAGTAAAAACATTGATGCACCAGTTTATCAAATCCAGAAGGGATGATCCTTTGCCGTGGGAAAACATTCAAGCTTTGTCTTGATTGTTACTGCTCTGCTGGTGTGGAAATAAGATAAACAAACATGCTGAATTAATGGTTTCTTTCCTTTCTCTCTTCCTCTCTTCCCCTTGTTAGATCCCTATGTTAAAGTATCGCTCATTTGTGACGGCAGGCGTTTAAAAAAGAAGAAAACGAGCATTAAAAAGAACACCCTGAATCCCACCTATAATGAAGCCATCATCTTCGACATCCCTCCAGACAGTATGGACCATGTCAGCCTGCACATCTCTGTGATGGACTACGATTTGTATGTTTATTCTATAGCTTGATAAATAAATTATATTTTTACTTGATGATTAACACGATAAAAAACAAAGAAGATCATGGTTGCCAAAATGTCACTGTACTCTTTTTCGTTCTTGTTAAATTTAATCATTTTAGAGCAATAAGATTCATATGAACTTGATTTTTTGTTGTTTTATTCTGTTATTAAATTATTTTGAACATGTTTAATATAGCAGGTTTGTAAGAGAGTATTACTTACAATTACTCATGGTCACATATTCAATTCAATTAAGTTTATTTATATAGCACCAACTCCCAACACATGTCATCTCAAGACGATTCATTCAGTCAGTCTGATTAACTGTTTTCTAAGGACAACCACCTGATTGCATCCAGTCATTGACTCGCAGGACATTCTCCTCCTCAATGATGATGTAGCTAGCGACAGTATTCACTTGAATGGTGTCAAGGACTCTTCAGCAATCCCTAGCAACAAGCATGCATGCAGGGACAGTGGAGAGGAAAATCTCTTTTTTAACAGGAAGAAACCTCTGGCAAATCCAGACTCAATATGAAAAGCCTTTTGTTGAGGTTGGCTGGGGTTCAAAGAGAGAAGCAAACATACAACAAGAACACGGAAGCACTGATCTATAAAAGTTTTGTGCTTTAAAAAAGTAAAGGTAAACTAAGTCAACAGTTAAGCCGGGCGTACACTATGCGATTTTTTTCAGTTATCGCACGCAGCTGCCGCTCACACTGTACGGTGTGAGATCACAGCTCACGATTTATGTTCGGCCCGACGCTCTCATGCGATCTACCTGCTCACAGTACGACTAAAAAGCACGTCGGACTCAGCTCCACAGTGAGATGGAGCTGCTCTGACGCGTTTATCAGGAAGCAAGACAAGTAGAAGGGGAATATTAAGCTCACTATAGTGAAACGCACTGCCTTGTGCATTTTTGTGCTGAAAGCCCTAAAAAGAAAAGGCGACAACATATTTGGACAAAGACATGGCTGAGCAAACTTGGCTACTATGGTCTGTTTATTTTAAAAAAGAACTGCATTTCACTCATTGCACCCCTGCCACACTGCTGTGTTTACATCTGAGAGGCAGAATAAAACATATTCTCATTATCAGTTTGTATGAAATCGTACGAAAAGTTATGCACAGTATTTCGTACGTTTTTGTACTTTTTTCCTCCTGCATGCGCAGCCAGACAGACGAAAAAAGCAGATCCGCTGACGGATGTAAAACTGGGAAAAACAGTGCAATAATAACTTCTTGAAGTTTCTCACTAGGTTGCTTGCTGTTTTGTATCTTAGGGTTAGGGTTAATTTTATGTTAAATTCTATGTTATTGAATGGTGCGTAAGATGCGCATGCGCAAGGATATCTTGTCTTGAGGCAAGATGTAAAAATATGACGAAATACGACGAAAAAAACATCAAAAACGTACGAAATACTATGCATAACTTTTCGTACGATTTCATACGAACTGATAATGAGAATACACTGAATAAAAAGAAGAATCCTTGTTTGCGCATGCCCACCGAGCCATTTGCCCACGACGGTCGGGAGAAAATCAAACATGTTTGATATTCCCTCGACCTCACGATTCCTGATCGGGGGGTGGTTGTGAGAGGCCGATCGCCGCTCATTACCCCCTGTACACTATACGACTTACGACGCACGATCAGGCTGAAAGTCCGCCCGATCGAAAGATTCTCGCACGACTGGAAAATCGCCCAGAAAACGTACAATGTGTGCTGGCTTTAAGAAGACAAGCCCTGAGTTTGTTTTCATGCAAAGGTGATGAAAGAACATACTGTTAGTCACAGTAAACGCCATACGCATTGTTATGTCTAGGAGAGAAACAGGACTAGATGTTAAAAGCCTAACTGTATCATCTATAACTGAGGTGTTGATGGCAGCAGCCCAGCGGATATTTCATTGTTTATAGTTTCTCTGTCTTTAAATAGGCAAGGCAAGGCAAATTTATTTGTATAGCACAATTCAGTATAAAGACAATGCAAAGTGCTTTACATGATTAAAATACAGGAAGATAAAACAGAATCAAAGCAAGTAGGAAAAAATAAAAAATAAAAAAAATATAAAAAATGCAGAAACAAAAAATAATATTAAAAACAGTTGGACTAAAGAAAATATGTTTTCGTTGAACTGTTTAACTAGAACAGTCGAAGGCAATCCTAAACAAATGTGTTTTTAGTCTTGATTTAAAGGAACTCAGGCTTTCCGCACTTTTACAGTTGCCTAATAATTCGTAATCAAAAAAGATTGAGTGTAAATTTGCTGTTTTTATTTTATTTTCTAAATTTTTTCCTATCGTTCTTTCTTCTATATTTTTTAACTTTATTTTGTTTGACATATTTTATATTAATACAATTTTCAAATTGTATTTAGAGATTACATTCTCCTCTCTTTAACCTCAATACAAATATTGTTGCTAGCATCGATGCAAACGAATAAAAACGCATCTTTGCTCCTAAGTCCAGAGGAAAGCCCTCCCAGAAGGGAAGGGAATGTGATCAGAAATAAACAATTTTGAAAAGAATACACTTTTTAAAACTAAGTCTGAAAGAAAATTTTGAAAAATAAAATTTTAAAATCTAAAATCAGTACAAGAAATTTAGAAAATAATGTTTTAAAAAGATCTTTTAAGGACAAAATGTGAAAAAAACAACAAAGTTACTCTCAAAACCGTTACCTAAGTTACCTAATTGTTTTAGTTGTATTACTTTATTGCAGTTTTTTTCACATTGTTAATTTATAAAATGTGTTCTTTTCTTGCAATTGCAAGGAAGCAAAATTTACTCCATAAATTTGCAATTCAGTGCAGGAAATGCTAAAGTTAGCTATATTTCAGACAAAAGCTAAGAGCAAAAGCAGTGTAATATGGTGCTTTGTGTTTATAGAATGTGACTCTGTCCAAGAAATATGAAAGGAATGGTTGGAGTGCAGACAGCTGACAGAATGAGAGCATGCATGTTAAAGGTCAGATTGTGGGTATTTTTCTTTTCCTGTTTCTCAGTTGAAAAAAAGGGGGTGAATAGCCTACCTGCAGAATTTCATTCTTAGCCTTTTATGTTGTATTCACACCCTGGCACCATGAAGTGACCTTATCAGGTTGTCTTAATAATCATAGAATTTTTCAAAGAATAGAAAATTGACATTTATTCAGTTAATTGAATTATTAGCACATATCAGGTGTAATTTCTCCAAAACGATTCGGTTTAAATGCCACAGAGAAAACCAGCTACATCAGTTGAAAGGGGATGGGCAATCAGCGTTGTCTCCTTTGATTACAAGCGGGCCCTTGTGCAATAAAAAAAAAAGGCATGTTTGAGATGTTGCATCAAGTTAAATCAGATTTATTCATTATATCACATGCTTGTGCCTCCACAGGGTGGGTCATAATGAGATCATTGGTGTGATGAGAGTTGGAAGCCATGCTGAGGGACTTGGCAGGGACCACTGGAATGAAATGCTGGCTTATCCACGGAAGCCTATTGCACACTGGCATTCCCTCCTGGAGTCCAAGAAATCTGAGAAGGAGGTGCGTAAGATTGTAGGGATTCTCCTTGAAGAAATGTTCTATGTCTGGGTAAAGCGCTCTACTTAACAGAAAAAAGATCTGGAAAAAATCAAAATCTAGATAAGTCATTTTTTCTTAAAATAAGTGCATTTGTTCTTGGATTAAGAAGGTAAAAGAGACATTTTGCCAATGGAACAAGACAATTTGCACTTAAAATAAGAAAACACAAATGCATTGTCTTGTTTCAAGTGCATATTATCTAATTAACATATTTTAAGAGTAAAAATACGCATCCCATTGGCAAACTTTCTCCTTTAGCTACTTGAATTAAGGATAAATGCAGAAAATGTAAGAAATTTTTACTTATTTCTAGATTGTTTTTCCAGTGAGAAAACCATATTGAAGGACAGTCTCTTAGGCTAGATTCAGTCAGGTTAGAGCTAGTAGCCAACAGAAATTAGGAGACTCAATATAAATGTTGATCATATTTTGTTAATCAAATTTAATAAGCATATCAGAAAATTCTTAAACAGCATTGTTACATTAGTTTTTAAACCCTTAGCGAAATAAAGATAATTTTAGCTTTATGAACATCAGTTTAAAACATGTCAGCATTGGGTACCATGCAGTCACTTAGGGTTGGGAATTGAAAAGATTTTCACGATTCCGATTCCCTTTTCGATTCTATGAAATGATTCGATTCTTTATCGATTCTTTTTTCGATTCCAATTTGGGGGAAAAAGGAGAACAAACAGTTTGATTATCAGCATCAACTTTGTTTACTTAACTATTGCACAATCTTACAAACTCAACAAGATCAAGATGTCCACAGGAAATGTGAAACTGGAGTAACATCTGTGTTTAAATGAAAAATAAATATACAAGAACAAACTTAATAACCAACAATGTCTAATAACAAATGATGGGATAATAACCTATTTTAAATAACAAAAAATACTAATTATAAAAGAGTAGTAGGGAAAATTAACAGTTATTTTGCAGAAAGATGAGCATATCTGCTTTTTCTGGAAGGATACAGGATCTTTCAGGGCTTATGGTGTCTCCAGCCGTGGAGAACACCCTCTCAGATGGGGTGGAGGAAGCCTGCACACAGAGGTAGTTTTCAGCCAGTCAGATAGCAAGGGCAGCGTATCTTGCTTGTTCCACCACCACAGTGTGGCGCTATCCCTGCAGGGGATGGAGGGCAAGCTTTTATAGAGCTGGATTTCCTGATCTACCCTCTGGGCTAAGGAAAGACGGGGCTTTGATTCACAAAGTGACCGCAGCTCGTTGTCTTCCTCCTCGAATAGTTCTTCCAACTTGCGTAACTTGCGTAACTTGCGTAACTTACGTAACTTACGTAAAAAACGTGACGTAAGTCGTGCTCCCCAGAGCCGGCGCTCTAGGCTCTGGTGCTGCGGGAATCGAAAAAAGAATCGTTCAGTGAGCTGCCAAACGATGCCATGGAATCGGAAAATACGGAACCGGTTCTTAACAGGAACCGGTTTTCGATTCCCATCCCTACAGTCACTATTATCTTTTTGTTAGATTTATTCACAAAACAGTTGATACTTAAAATGATTTTGAAAAAAGGGCGTGAAGGTGGCGCAGTGGTTAATGTGCACGACCTATGGTCGGAGGCCATAGTCCTCGACGCGGCCGAGCTGGGTTTGAATCTGGCATGTGGTCCTTTGCCGTGTGTCTCTTCCCCCTCTCGCATACAGTGTTGGGCACGTTACTTTGAAAAAGTAATTAGTTATAGTTACTAGTTACTTCTCCCAAAAAGTAATTGACTTAGTAACTGAGTTACTCCACAATAAAAGTAACTAGTTAGTAGTAAAAGTAACTATTGCGTTACTTTTGCGAGTGTATGAAATTAATAACTGGGGATGTCTAATTCTGAAATCCTTTGTTTGGGTTGTTATAGATACTGCAACATGTAGCTATATCCATCCATCCATCCATCCATCCATCCATCCATCCATCCATCCATCCATCCATCCATCCATCCATCCATCCATCCAGATTTCTCCCTTTCTCCATATAGGCTAATGATTGTTAGCGCTCTCCGTAGTTCCCTAGTGGCGCAAGCACAGGGCGGCTGTTACGCGCCTTTAGCGAGCATGCGCGTTTCCTGTCGCTTGCGCGGTGAATCGTGCCTTCTGTGCGGAGATGCAGGGGAAACCGTATCTGATGGGGAAACGCAGCTCCACGTAACACCAGTATTTCCATCTGGAAAGCGCTGTTTTGCCGCTGGAGTCCTCCTCACTCTCCATCCTCCCCTCTCTCATGACACGTGCATGAGTCCTATCATGAAAAAAGGTTAATTGTGCAACCTGAGTAACGTGCCGTAACGGGGTGTCGGCAATTGTTACTGCGTTATAGTTACAGTAAGAGTAATCATTTTGATTACTCGTTACTAAAAAAAGGTAGTGGCGTTAGTAACGCCGTTACTCCCATCACTGCTCTCATACCCCCTTTCCTGTCAGCCTACTGTCAGAAAAATGTGCCACTAGCGCTGTAAAAACTTGAAAAAAAAAATTATTTAGAAAATCATCGAAAATCCAAACTGTTTAGGCAAATAAATAACCTCTTTTGATATCTGTTTAGCAAATGTGAGGTGTCTCCAAAGTTCAGGAGAGTTTAGCCTAGCCTGTATTGGGTGGGTCTACATTCAGATAGCTCAGCCTAGAGGCTAGGTGTGTCCTTTGTGGTCTGCTGGGTCTAGATCTATGTCTTGGACTTCTGAGTAGACTCAGAGAACATGATACAGACAGTCTGTCTTCCAGAAATCTGTGTCTGGAATCACCAGTAGGAGATCTAACTTGATTGGGTGTCGAGGGAAGAAGTCAATTTAACCACGTTTTCTTTTTACCCTCTATGAATTTGGTTCATGGGCAAATAGAATGGGAGATCTGTGAGTAGAGCCTTTTATCTCAAGCACAGTGGGGGGCATCTCATGTCCCTGGGTGTATTTGGAGAGTGCTTTGGATAGCCATTTTGAAAGGAGAGCAAACAATTTTTTCCACCAATCTTCAAAGTTAATATCATGATTTATGGCATAACGCCTTTTCATAGCTTCTCAAATATGTGAAAAGCTTAAATTATTATGTTAGTTGATTAATTAATTATAATAATCAGTTATTCACTATTCTGTTAGTATTTCCGTAAAAGTTTAAAAAGCAATCCACTGGACTTGGTTTCCAAGGTTTAAAAACCTTGGAAGAGCCTTTTATCCAAGGTTTCAAACCTTGGAAACCAAGTCCATTGGATTGCTTTTTAAACTTTTACGGAATGATTATGACCTGGATGACTGAGAATCTTCATCAGAGTTCCGTTAGTTTTATACACTATTCTAGGGTCCAGATTTTGTGACCACTTTTGCAATAATCTTTTGCTGCCGTAACACCACAATTTCTCCATCATTGGAAAATAAAGGGATTTTATATTCTATTTTCTATTCTATTCAAATAGAATCTGCAGAACAGTATTTAGAGAGAGAGTGTTGGCCTAGTGCAGAGGTCTTCAAATGGGGGTCCGTGACCCCTAGAGGGTCCACAGAGGTACTGCATGGGGGTCGCAAATGTTTTGGTTGATTAGACTTTTTTTTTTTTCATATTCCCCCCTGCAATTTTTTCCACTAATTGAAATGTTTCTATATCCACATTAACACGAATTCAACAGACTGCAGTAAACAGATAAATAGAGGTAGAAGATGTCTTTCAGTCATCAATGCACACATTCAGCGACACACAGGAGCTCTTTCAAGCTGGACACCGTTTCATTCACAACACCTGTCCCATCAACGATGAAGCAGAATCAAAAATGCTTTAATAATCCCAGGGAGAAATAACTTTCGTTACATGACTCCATCTGTAATAGAGTCACTATAGGACCAGTTTGATATAACACAATTTCATATAATATATATAATTAGGGGGTCCCCGCTCCATCTCACCATCAATTTGGGGGTCCTTGTGGTAAGAGCAGTGTGTCTTTGCTCTGAGAAGGTTGCAAGTACCCTCTTCGATCCCTACAGCCTGCACTCTGGGTTCCTTAGCAAAACCCTTAACCCCACATTGCTCCCACGGCACCAGACATTTAACCTGACTCCGCCAGAAACCTTCCATAGAAGTAATTTTGGGAAGGGGCGAAAATACTAGTTAGCTGATTGGCCTATGTTGGTGATAGACGGGCCAAATAAACCAATCAGATCAACGAAGCATATAACGTACTAACAGAGCGACGACGAAGAGGAACAATTGATAGATCAAACTCTTGCCGAAACCAGTCGGGAGAAGAGCAAAAACATATTTTCCTCTGAGAAAAGCCTCCAGAGCAGTGTTTTGCTCTTCTTTCAGTGAAAAAATACTCTGTAATTCCGATAAAACTTGCTCGATAGCCACGCTAACGCTAGTTTCATCGGCTGAAGCCACCATGTTCTTTAGACTGAACTGTCGCGCTTCTCGTTGCGTCACACCTCGACCCGCCTCAAAGCCAACGCTGATTGGACGTTCGTTTGGCGAACGGCTCCAAATTTTCTTTAACGGAGAGTCTCCAGACTGATCTGCGAGTGAAACCTTGAAAGCTCGTGAGATCAGGATGGTCTCACGAGGCTACCACACAGTAGCAGCCCACTGCTCCCCAAGAGGATGGGTTAAATGCAGTGGTAAATTTCTCCAATGTGAGATCAATAAAGTTCAACTATTATCATTATTAGTATTAATTTATTGTTTCTATGTTACATAGTCCAAACCCCAACAAGCTTTGATGACAGATCAAATGTATTTCTTAAAATGCAGAATTAAGGTATCATAAGTGTTAGAAATCAAGTTTTCAAACTATTGGGGTGAAAGTAGCGTCAGATGCAAGAGTTTGCCCTGCAGCCAAAGGGTTGTGAGTTCAAATGTTGTCCCTTCACCTCACCTGCATTTCCTACTGAGATCAGAGGGCCTGGTGGAGCCCGTGTGTCATCCTTGCATCTGTCAGTGAGCCACAGGGCACCAACAATGCGTGTGGGTGAATGACTGACTGTAGTGGAAAGCGCTTTGGTCAATTCTCCTGACTAAAGGTGCTATATAAGTACATGTTTACCATTTAACCACTTCAATATTAGAAGAATCAACAATTTAATGTTTATTTTAAGAACGCTGACACTGTGGCACCCTCCTGTTAGTTAAAATACTTTTTTCTGATTTGACATAAAATGCACCGGCTTTGGGATTTGACATCGTTCAGGAATCACAATAAACACAAGGTTCTTAGTTTTGGAAGAATTATTATTAGCGGTTTTTCCCTTCTGCTCTTTTACAGAATCTACTACTGCTGAATATCCTGAATGAATGACTGTCTTTGTGTTTTTGTCCCACAGTGGAAGGCGAGAACTGCCAGCTTTGACAGCCAGGGCTCCTGCCCCTCACCGAGACCCCCTGCTAGTCCCTGAGATGAGCTACCTGTGACCCAGCAGCCCAGAAGGGGTTTCCTCCCTCCTCCTGATTCACTTCCTGTCTGTGTGCTTGAGGAGAAACACAATCCCACTGTCTCTCCCTTCTCACTCGCTCTCATCCCCACACCCCTCACTTCCTCCAGTCTAGTCCCAGAGCACTCCCAAGTACTGAAATAGGACTTTCTGTATGTCAGCTGTGTGAAGCTCAGGCTTTTCTCGATGTGGCTGGTGCGATGGCCTGAAGCTAGGGTTGTTTTCTAGGAGATTGGCTAGAGATCATGTCTGCAGACATTGATTGCTGATTTGTCCACGCTGAGGTAAATCTAGCTAGATGTCCTTACAAAGTACTTGCAACTTTGATTCATGGAGTCTCTTTGATGGAGAAAAAGCCCTGTCGAATATCACTCCATGAAAGCAGTGGATATTTCTCAACGGGAAGCCGAGTTCATATATTGCCAAGGAAGAAAAAAAAGGAGATGATCTAAAAGAAAGCTATTTTAGAAGTTTATGCTTCACTCACATTTATTTTTGCATTCTTGAATTAACATTAGATCTATATTTTTTTGTTAGATGTTTTTGTTAGATAGTTCATATATGATTATCTTTATGGGTTAGGCTATAAACTCGAGTAGTTAAAAGTTTTGTATAGGTTTAAAAAACAAAAAAATAAAAACAAAAGATCACCATTGAGAGGACCAGAATGGAATAAACTGGTTCCTCTTAAGTTTTACAACTTGTAAAACTTCACAACATCATGAAGACCCATCAGTTTTACTTTTTTTTTTATTTTATTTTTTTTTATGTGAGTAAAAACAAGTAAAGCTGTCAATGAAGAGAGATCCAAATATCTAAGCAGGGATATTTCAAGCACACTTTTATCACTCTTACCTTCTTTATCACTTTGGTGTTCCGTTTCTTCCAAAATAAGAACATAGACAATAAAGAAGCCTTTTCGTTTACCTGTTACTGTAGGTTTGTTTTGCTAACGGTGTTGGCGGATGTAAATATATTTATGTACTGGTGTTTTGTATTCGGTTTTGCTTATAGAATAATAAATGATAAGATAGAATACAAAAAAAGAGATTTTGAATTCATGACAGTGTCAGTGATGAAAAGAAAAGAATAAGGTTTCAATATTCCCCTTTTTACAGATGCAACTTTTTATGTCTATTGATTTACTAAATGTTAAATTGGTTCATTGTGTTGGGATTTGTAGTAAATTCTAAGTTTTGTTCTTATGCTTAAAAATGTTCCAATTCCAAACTGAATATGTGGAAGGATTTCATTAGATAAGGGGGATTTTTTTATTTATTTTTTTTTTATGCCTGCTATGTCACTTATTGGTTTTGGTAAGACTTCCACATTAAGTTGAAACTGAGAACCGTTTTAAACTAGTCAACAAACAAGTCTGTTACTAACTTGAATCATCCCACAGTGGAGCTTCTGTCTTCCTTACATATTTAGCAGTGCAACATACTGTAGTCTGGAAAAAAAATCGAAATCTAGATAAATAATTTTTTCTTAAAATAAGTGCATTTTTTCTTGGATTGAGGAGGTAAAAGAGACATTTTGCCAATGGAACAAGACAATTTACACTTAAAATAAGAAAACACAATTAAATTGTCTCATTTCAAGAGCATATTATCTAAATATCTTATTTTAAGAGCAAAAACACTCATTCCATTGGCAAACTCTCATTTACCTACTCAAATTAAGGGTAAATACACTTAATTTAAGAAATTTTGACTTATTTCTACATCGTTTTTCCACTGTACAGTTCCTATTTCTAATAATGTTTATCTACTGGTGGTATTAAAATCTGTCTTCTGATGTAAGTTTATCCCCAATTTGAGTCACATATACACTTTCATTATCAAACTGAAATGGCACATATTGCCTTAATAGAAAATATCCATAAACTTGCATAGTATGATAAAAAAAAAAAAAAAAGACTTTCCAAAGACACATCTCTGGCTTTTCCAGTGCGACCTGCTTCATCGAGTTATGAGTAAGTAGGTTTCAGAAATATACTGTTCCAAAACAGCATAAGTTGGCCAAGATACTGTTGATACGTCTTAAAATTCTAATTAAAAATCAATGATCAGCTGTAACATAAGAGTTTATCTCAGAAATATTTATTTTAATTGTAAATAAAATAAAACTTTAAGCTGTTTAGTTTAAATACTATTATTACTAATATTATACTAATATTTAAATAAAATGTTGTGAGGCCGTTTACGGTTAGCATCAGGATCAACACATTTTTTCAGAGATAGAAGAGAGAATAGAAGAGAGATTGAACGATCTTCACTGTCACTTTTTTGACTATTTGATTTAAATTTCATGTTAGCTTCTGCTTATGGTATTAGTTGTTGCTAATATAGGCAACAGTAGATCACAAAATGAGCACATTATTTTCAGTTTTCAAAGTTCAGGATTCCAAGAAAGGCACACAGCTAGGGCGTGGTATTTTAATGAGCCCTAGACATAAATACCATGAACATTTTAAAACTACAATTGATGTTTTAGGAGCAGCATATCTATTTAGGAACTGATTGCATCACGCTACTTGAGCAGATAAACCTATTCAAGCAGTAAATATTAGCTGGTTATTATTTTAAGAAGACATAAACAGAAAAAGGAAAACATTTGATGAAATATGCCCACTTGCATGAAAACTATTAAATTAAGGGAGTAACTATAGAATTTCTAAATTGTTGCTCTAAAAGTTCATCCATACATTCATTCAAAGGTTGTAGATAGTAGCAATTAAAACATTTAGCATCTTGGAAATGGTAAATATATTTTCCTGAAGTTGTCTGAAGAGTACAAGTAGTTAGACTTAGTCAAATGTTTTGCCCATAGCTATGTCTAGGAGAGAAACAAGGCTAATTCTATCATCTATAATTGAAGTTGTTGATAGCAGCAGGCCAGCTGATGCCTCCCTCCAGGATGATGACACAGCTGGATAGAGTGCGAGGCCAGATTAAGCTACAAGGATGAAAAAAAGCACCAAGAACATGAAATTAGAAGTTAAAATAACAAATCATGTTAAATTAGAGAATAAAAGTAGAATGTGGCAGATTTTGGAAAAGTGGCCCCTATGTCCTCCAGCATTCAAGTGTATAGCAGCATAACTACAGATATAGCTCAAGATAAACTGAGCCTTTCTAACTATAACCTTTATCAAAAAGGACATTTTATGCAGTCTAGTCTTTAAAGTAGACAGCATGGTGACCTCAGATTAAATCTGATAGTTGGTTTCCGAGGAGAGAGAAACCAACATACATACTAATTAAACTAATATCTAGGAACCACTAATAAATCTACAGATCGAAAGCTCTATTAGGAACAGGAGGAACAATCAGATCTCTGATATAAGATAGAGCTTGGTTATTTGAGGCTTTATATTTTAAAAAGGAGCATTTTAAATATTTTTTTTGGATTTAACAGGAAGCCACTGAAGGGAAGCTAAAATTTGAAACATAAAATCTCTCTTTAATTTAACTTTGTCTACAGAGTACTGGATCAGATGTAAGACTTTTACTACATTTTGTGGACTTTCTGATAGTGAAATATTACAATAGTCCAGCCTTAAAGTAGCAAATGCAAGGACTGGTTTCCTCAACAATTAGCATCTTCAACAATTCTTGAATAGACCTACATCATGTAAATTATGATTATTAAGAAAAAGGTACAATAGATATAGTATATACAGTGCGTCCACACATGACAGCTTTTATTTTTAATTGAACGGATCTAGATTGTTTGTGTCAAACAAATTTTTACGTTAGGCCTCTTCAACATTATCACGTCTCAAAAGAGATGTGACAATGTTGAATATCAGCTATAAAAAATTTACTTTAGATTTTTTAACCTTCTTATTTATAAATAGCAATCTGCTCTGGTATGATAAATGTACCCCTATCAATGTTGCTGTTTTAGCAACTTGAAAATTTTAAAATAAAATGTGCCTCATTTTTATAACATCATATGCCCTCTTGGCTTCCATCTCTACAAATAACCAGTGAATATTAGTAATTATAACTCGGCTTTTATAAAAGTATGCAACATTTAGAGTTGCAACTTTTAGAGATGCCGTTAAAATAGTCTATTTAGCAGCAAAATGTGTTGTTTATAATTTTTTTTCAATTTTTACACTTTTTCAAAATCTATAAAGTGAAGAGAGAGGAAATAGAGTGATTGTAACTGACCTTCTACTCATAAGTGACTCACATCGGGCAGCGACTTACATCAGCTAATGTTCATTTTTAGTTTCAGCATATACAGTAACCATTGCTATGGTGTCTTTTGTTAGCAAAGTGACATGACAGGCAGTGGATTTTTAAAACTTTACAGCTGTAAGATATATTCACATTTCTCTTGTGTTTGTATTTGTTAATGACTGTTTTATGTTTCAAAACTGAAAATGGTTATATTGTAAATGATCATGGCATTGTGGATATTCTACAGTACATCTCTGTTCTGTGCTTGTTTTCAACCAATGCTTTAAAAGAAAAAAAACAAACAAAAATATCTTTGTTTTTAATGAAATGTTTAATTCAGGTGTCATTTAATCCAATTTTAGGTTGTTATAGTTTGAGCTTCCAGAAGCAGTACTTTATCTGGAGCTCCTCATTAGCACATTTAGAACGCAACACAAGAAGCTGCAAACTGGAAATGATACCTGGCGGGACAGCTGCTTAACAACAATCGCAGATTACAGTTTGGTACAGTTTGTACAGATGCATTTAACCTAACGTCATGCCACAGAGTATGTCATGGGAAAATCGAAGCCAGACATGAAGACATAAACAGATGGATTCTGCAGACCTTGAAAGGTCTGTTTTAGACATTTCCTTAACGGATAAATATACCCAAAGAGAGTCGTTTGGCACTTCTGTGTTAAACTGAGAGACTAAGATGACAGAGCGGGGGAAGCTGTTGGGTGGACAGGTCTGCATCAACAGAACGGTGGCATTTCTTTAATTGGCGCCTTTTAGAGCAAGAATGAGTCACTGCATTGTTCCTGCTTGACGTATTCTACCATAGCATCAATACTCTGCTGTAATTCAATTATTTGAATGTTGAAAATCACTTTAGACTAATGGCATTATTAGATTTCTACTATCTAAACAAGTGGGTGATTTATTGTGTTGTTTCCGCTCCTTTTATATATATATAAAATAAAAATTGTATTTTATGATGGTGATATTCCTCCAACAATGTGGTGTGTTTTCATCTATGGTGGAACCTGTTAGATCGATTGCCTCATTTTATGGACTGTTTTAAGACCTTCTAGCTTTGCCTATTATTGTACTGTTTGTTGATATGATCTTGTAATTCTTTCCAAATGTTAAAATAGCTCCAAGGTTTGAAATTTTTTATTAAAGATTTTGTATCTGTAATGATAGAAATGTTGTTGAAGACAAATGAGTTCTTGCTAAACTCAGTGATCCAATGTGTAATAAAGTAAAACTGAAATAGAAAACAGTATTTTCACCACAGGTTTTCATTTCCTCGTTTTGTTTGAAATTCTCAACGAAAAAAAAAAGCATCAGAAACATTGCTTGTTGTGTTTTCTCCCATGGAGCGTGATGTATTCTGTGACATGATTTCCTTTTCTTTGATTAAAAGACTTATGCAAAAAAACAAAAAACAAAACGGGGGCTTCTGTAATGCGTGTTTTAGAGACAAACAAACAACATCTCCTCTGGCTTAACAAGCAGATACTGGCTGAATAACATCATGCAAATAAACCGAAGGAGAATCCACAGACCAAAGAC